TAGGCAAGGTAAGTAATTAGAAGAAAACTACAATTTAGAGATTGATTGTAAAACAAATTCACAGTACAGACACAATTAGCGAAATATGAATAAAATTTTGATTTATTTTATAATAGATAATGCTAGTTGAAAACTAAACACTGTATGGGAATGGCATCACTGTGTGAATGAGTGTGAGTGTGAACGAGTCAGGTGGTCAGTCCAAACAAATAAAAAGCGCGATTGTAGAAAGAGATTCGTTACGAAACGTTTGCAGGCTAGGGGGCTTGGCCTGTTTATGCTATTCATAACGAAGGCTATAAAATATGTAGGTACAACTTAGAAACTAAATCCTATGTGTACATATCTGTCTTCATAACCCAATATCTAAGGTAGGTTGATGCGCTCCTTAGTTTTTATATAGTTCGTATTATTCTCTAATAAATTAAATCTTATCCAAAATATACTATAATACCATAGCAAAGCTACTACTATTTTATTTAGTAGTAGCTTATATAGTAGTATAGTAAATTATATAAAAAAAATATGAGTATGTCTGAGGTAAGGTTAAATATAAACAAATATATTGCCAAGTGCGAATCGGACTTCCGAGATTACAAGATTTAAATACCTATACATATTAATATCGATCAAAAAAGCCAAAAATACACGTTTCTTTTTTTAGTAGAAAATCCTTTAATTTCAAATTTATTTTTACCACTTGCTGTTATAACGGCAACAGAAATACACGTTCTGTGAAAATTACAACCATCTACCTGTTACGGATCATGAGATACAGCCCGCTGACAGACAGACACACGGACAGCGGAGGCTCCGTAATAGGGCCCTGCTGGTTACCCTTCGGGTACGGAATCCTAAAAAGTACTTAGTTGTCCACTCACGTCTGTATGATTATTTCTTCAAAGGACCATATTAGCCTGGTTCTTTTATGACATGACCAATGTAACACCTGTACTGACCTCTCTGAGTTTGTTTCGGCAGATCGGGTGCTTCTTCTCATTTTCATGTTTTTGTTGTTTTAAAGTGTTTTTTTTAAAAAAAAAACAACTTACAAAACAAATTTTATTTATCATTGACTGCCCTTCTTAGATTCTTATGTACTTACACAAATTACATTAGGTAGGTATATTAGGATTTGAGATTCCTATACGTAAGCACGATTATCGAAAATCTTAGAATTACCTATTCTAATTAAATTAATAAACAATTTTAAGATTTTCGATAATCGTGCTTATCTATGAGATGCTTTCGTTAGTTAGCAAATTAAAGTAGTTACGTACCTAATGTACTACCTGTATTGAAAGTTCATTATTATGTACCTACCTGTTTTCTATTTTAACTAAATGTGCTTCAACAAACTTATGGGCACATTTTAGCAGCTATATTCATCCCGGCTTCAGCAATGGACACGAACAAAAGGAAGCAATTTTTCTAAATAAAGATGTAGATATGTAGGTATTACAACCATAAATAGATAGCAGCGGCTAACCTAGTGAGCATGTGTGAGTGCGCGCTGCGCCCCCCCCCCTCCGTCCGTCCCACTGATCGGGGGAAACAATTTGTAGCGAAAGGCAAGATGTTTTATATCAAAAACGGGCGCGCGAAATTTTATAAACAGACCTTTGGTAGTCTGGATGTCACGAAAAATCTATTGAAAGTATCTGTTTAAAATAAAATTATTTGCATTTTTGAACAACTAATCTATCCCTGTATGGTAACTGTTTTGCAATTTTCGTTCTTGTTATGGTATTTATTTCCGCCCAAAAAATATGTTAAAACTAGTGTTGAAATTCGGAATTTTCGACGCTTATAACTTCTAAACATACTCTTTTTTACTTTTTTGTTTCGATACAGGGCTAGATAATGATGAGACAAATTGAAATCATTTTTTATTTTGAACGTACACCATCAAACAGTGGAGTAATCGCCGGACTACAAAATAGTCGCTAGTCGCTTATTCTAATTAATTTATTTCAATTTGTCTCATCATTATCTAGCCCTATATGGAAACAAAAAAGTAAAAAAAGAATATATTTAAAAGTACTAATTTTAACACATCTTTGGGTGGAAATAAATATCATAAGAAGAATGAAAATTGCAAAACAGTTACCATACAGTGATAGAATAGGTCTTCAAAAGAGAATAATTTTATTTTGATACATTCAATAGATTTTTCATGATATCCAGATTCCCAAAGGTCTTTTTATAACATTTCACGCGCTAGTTTCGTTGTAAATCATCATGCCTTTCGCACGTGATGTCGGCTGAGATAGCATGCATTTTAACCCCGCCCACCACTTCGCCTTCGCTTCTTGCCATCGACTAGGGCCACCTTAAGGCTGCTGTTAGTCAGCGGTATAATATATTATTACAGTAACAAGGCTGAAATTGTTTGGCTGGCATGGCAATCTTTGTCTGAATTTTCTCTAAACTTACAGTTACATTGAAATTGGAAATGAAAGTACTTAGTATAAATACTCCTAGAGTGGAGTACACTGAGTAGACACATCAAACACCAATTTAAGGTGACTATTTTGTTGTAATAGTATTATTTTTTAAATAATTGGATTCAATATTCTAAATGGAATTTCTGTCATCAACCTCGTCCATCAATAAATAGGGTATAATGTGTAAGGTAATATTTGCACAGGTCAAGTTGACATATTTTCTCTTACACTTACGCAATCAAACACAGCCAGCCTCAAAACAGTTATTTGTAGGCTATACAAACACTTCTGTCTGTGAATCGAATCCAAGACCCACAATATAGCCAAACATTTAGCCATGCTCTAAAAAAAGGTTAAATTCCCTGCTATCTATTAGTCAAATAGAAAAAGATAGCATTTCACTCATACCTACATTTAAAAAAAATATTCAATATAAGTACTTATGGTTCATAAAAGATAGCTTGATCTCTGCGACAGCTGTCAATAAAAATCACGCGTATGAAGTCCTGAATTTCTTAGTAGTACAGACAGTACCTGTCAATGTCATACTTTATGGGCATGCACTAATTAGGTCGGCATGCCCATAAAGTATCACATTGACAGGTACTGTCTGTACTGTGAGTATTCAACCAACTGGAGAGGCCATGCATGTTAATTCCTAAACAAAAATTCTGTCAACATCAGGGGGGCGCAAGATAAACACACAACTGTATACTTAACTACAAATGCAAAATTAAATCGTGTCATTATAAACGCACACTACAGCATTTGTGTTTGTGTTCATCGCGTTTACGCAATCATCAAATCGTACACGTGTCGATACACTGATAACGCTTCGATAAACAAATCACCATAGTCCGCACAAGTTTTTATTTGATTATAAGTAATACATAGATAAATAATACCAAGGTGTTACTCGAAATTCTTTTTTTAAGTATGTATTTAAAATGATCTTCGGAAAAAAACTTACAAATTATTGAAACTTTATTATTTTGCTACAGGTTTATTTTACATTATGCAGGATAAAATTTAAAATATTTAACAAATCAAAATAGGAGGTTTAGTTAACTTATTTTAAAAATCAGATTTATGAAAAGAAAAATCCTATCAGTTTATCATCTTCGAACTATACTACACGGGCGGTTCTGCCGCCGCGGGAATCCGCTTCTGAACCGCACTAGACTCAATTTTATATGGACATTGTATGCCACAAACTATACTGCGCGGTTTCCCGCCGCGGTTTGCAGGCGGGAGAAATTCGACCGCCGCATGCAGCGTCAAACCGCCGCTGTTAACCGCCGTTTAAAACTACACGGGCGGTTATCCGCTATTGCGTCATTCTGCGCGGGACCTTCTCGCTCGCTCGTCGTGTGTGCGCTTGCGTGGCTAGTGGCGCGTCAAAATGTTCGACACGGAGCGTTTTATTATTGAAGTACAAGAAAGACCTCTTTTATATGAAGTGAAGTCGAAGGAATACGTCAATCGGGAATTAAAAGCGAAGTTATGGATGGAGATAGGACAGGAAGTGGTTGCTCATTGGGCTGATTTAGGCCCAGAAGAAAAAAACAAAGCTGGTAAGTTTACTTATTATTTTATTTCTTATTTTAATGTATCATTCTGTTTTGCCAAGGAACCGCTCCAGGGCCATTGAAATATTGAACAAACGAATCTCTTACTGAAATACCACTAGATCGGCCTCCAACTGCCTGGACTCCGTCGAATTCTTCCATATCACATCGAATCGTATCTTCAAATTGATAACCATCGCTGCGTCTTACGAAATTGTGTAATACACAAGCAGCTTTTATAATGTATTTTGCACTCTGTGGATTAATTATAATGCTTGAATGAAAAATTCGCCACTTGTTACTAAGGATACCAAATGCACATTCCACAAAGCGGCGGGCTCTAGACAGTCTATAGTTAAAAGTTTTCTTAGGCGTGTCTATGTTTCGTAAAGAAAATGGTCTCATAACATTTTTATTTAAACCGAATGCAGCATCACCTACAAATACAAAAGGCACACGAGGATTTCATATATTGTTAGAAAGATGAATTGGCTCCGGTAAATCCAATTGAGAACGAGTTAACTTTTGACCGAAATTTGAACTTTTAAAAATTGAAGAGTCACTTTCTTCGATCTGGAGCACCAATGTCAATGAATGTAAAACAGTAGTCTGCGTCAACCACTGCCAATAAAATAATCGAATGACATTTTTTATAATTATAATATTTAGATCCAGCATTCGGAGGGCAAACAATTCTAATATGTTTGCCGTCAATGGCTCCAACGCAATTAGGAAAGTTCGCTTCTTTGTAAAATTTCTCAGCAATGTTTATCCATTTTTCCTTATTTGGTTTTGGCATCTCGAAAGGTGCTAATTCTTGACTAATAGCTTGACAGGTTTCTTTTACAATGAATGGTAAAGTTTTTCGAGAAATTTGAAAATCGTACTCCAAATCAGTGAAAGTTGCTCCCGAAGCCAAATATCTGACAAATAAATAAATGCCATATTAATAATACATTTCTTTTTTTGCAGTGTAAAGGACCTAATGAAGAAATTGAAGAATATAAGAGATAGTTATAAAAAAGAAGTAAATTTAGAAACTACCACATTGTCGGGACAATCAACTCCAAAAAAGAAACGATATATTTATTATGAGTTGTTGTCCTTTTTACGCCCTAGCGTCAGTATTGCAGAAGAACGTGAGTCCAACGTATCTCCAATACCTTCGAATTCATCACAAAATCAGGATTTTGAAGAAGATAATTTGATGAGACCACCGCGACAAACCCGAGTTCCTACCAAAAGAAAGAAACAAATGGAAAGTACCCAAATTCCGCAAATAACAAAAATTTTGAATGAAAGTTTACAATTACAAAAGTTAAATAACGATAGTGACGCAAAAGGAAATCGAGCATTTCTTATGTCCTTTGTACCTATTATGGATTCCATGACTCCTGATTTTGGCTATGGAAACTAGATATGAAATTACGAATTTATTCAGAAATATACAAAGAAACGAAAGAAACCGCAGTATTCCTAGCAACTTGTCTGAGTTTCTTTACCATAGGAACCAGGAGCCATCTGCGAGTTCTGGGTCTAGAGCATATCACGAAGACACATTAACTCCAATGACTAGTGTCGCATCGCCACAAAACGATTCTGGGTCGGACGCATCAACGGAAAATGATGATTATTTTAATGTTCTGCATTACTTACCCTAATAAAAAAGATTACATAATAAAATAATGATATTTTATTTACCTGAGAGTTACAGCCAAACGTTCCGCAGGTGTGATGGATCTTCGCATATTTGTATCCTGTTTCTTAATACGTTGGCTTATAATTGATAGAAGTTCATCAAATGAGTTCACAGACATTTTATAGTAAGAGAAAAACTTATGAGGGTTATCACGGTGTGCACTAAACATTGAATGAAATATTCCCGAAGTTAAACGGTTACTTAACACTGGTTCCACCCAAACATTGCGGTTAACTTTATTTTTTAATAATTCTAATAATATAAGAGCTGCAAGCGCAGTTATCATTGGCGGATCCATGTTAAAATGAACGCAAAACAGCGGTAAACCGCGTTCCGTCTAGTTTGCTGGTTTGCGGGAGCTTTGACGAGCGGATTCGATCTAAAGCCTCATTTACATTCAGCCCCTGCCACTACTCATCGCGCTGCCGGCCATACTTCGCTAAATACTACCGTAGCAGGGTCAAGAGAATGTGTATTTACATTCTGCCCTACCACTCACATCACTTTCGACTATGACAGACGTCGAAATAATTACAGCGCCCGCGCTGTGTCTTCTTGTAACACAAAATTATGTTAATAATTTGAAAAGATATGAAATTCAAAAGAAGAAAATTCGTCGTCGTAAAAGATGATGAATTATGGTTTTTATCGTTGAAATCCCATATAGTTTTTTCTGATTCCAGCAGTTCTAAAAACTTGATTGTATTTTCGTTACTCCACTCAAAAGGCATTTTAGCAGATCGCACTTATTTAAAAACAAGACGGCACGCACGTCCGGTCGTCCAGGTGCTTAGCGCGAAGTGAGCGATGTAGCAGAATGTGAACACTCACTGCCGCTCGCGCTGTCCGTCCTTTGACTTCCGCACGAAAAACCGACAATCGAGGGAGCGTCGGGCAGCGGCAGCGGCATGGGCAGTGACGGCGCAAGTAGCCTATTTACATAGTGCCCTGCCCAAAAAGGCTGAATGTAAATGGAGCATAAAAATCGAATTCAGCGCTATTAAACCGTGACGCGACCTACATAATATGGGTAATTAACAAAGTTTATATAATACACACCATTTTATTTCTAAATGCAGATCTTAGCAAACTCATTTTTTCACTTATATAATGAGAACTTAAATCCATATGTGTTAGACAATTGACGACCCAGGACCACCAAGTTCGGTAAGGAGATTGCTACAATGAGCAATAAGGTGAATGATCAATAAAAATGTCGTTTTGTGCTAGTGATAACTATCACCCAATACAAAACGCTAAGTTTATATACAGAAAGCTTAGATTTTTATTTCTGATTAGGATTGAATTAAAATTAAGCATTGAAAATTGAACTATATAATGTATGTTCGTGAGAAATAGACAAAATAATTTAAGAAAGAAATGCCTTTTGTTTATTTAAGTCATAGTACATTACAAATAATAATTATCCTAGACTTTAAATCATTATAGAACTATTTTAACTGAAATTATATCACACATTCCTCAATCTTTTGTAAGACACTATTTTGTTATAGAGGTTCTGGCTCTCTGCTGTACACTTGCATAATTTTTTCCATAATTTCCCAATTCTTCTCTTTCTGCAAGTCTTTTGTAAATACCTAAAAAAATTAAGATAATTTTTAATATTTTAGGTAATAAGTTCACAATCAATACACAAAAGCATAAAATAGAGAATGTGGAAACTACAGAGAGGAACTCTGCAGTTTCCACACCCAAAACTTATTTACACCCAACGGTTCAATGGCATATTATTTTTAGTAAATAAACCAGCTTTACACACTGACACTGACTAATTGGTCCAATACACATCCCAATAGTGTATTGGACCAACTAGTCAGACCTATGGTCAAGCCATGAAGGTAAATATAACATAGTCAATGACTATTAGTCATTAGTCCTAATAGTAATTACCATGTTCTTATCCAAAAATAAAAATTATCAACAATTAAAATATCGAATCATTTGTATGAAGGTCAAGTATAGAGGAACGACGATTGCTAGAAGTTGTTAACAAATAAAATGGTTTGAGAAATCATCCATTACCGTGTTGTGACTGTGTATGAACATCTATATCATCCCGTGGATGTCGTAAGAGGCATAGACAATACACATACTTGGTGTAAAGAGTTATTTTTAAACAACCGTGACTATCCAGTTACAAGAAAGTGACAGTAAAAAATCATTGTGACTTTGTCACGTTGGATAACTACCTTGAAAATTAGAAGGACTTATAACATGATTTTAAATATGCATTTTAGATTTAGTATTGGGTTTTACTTCAGTAGTCGATTTTTTATTACCTTCCTCACCTAAGTTACGAACGTAACTATGTTATAAATACCATTCTAAATATTATTTTTGAAATAAACGAATTTCACCCGAACTAGCCAATCAGTCGGTGTACCATTCCAGTAGACCGTACCGCACCTTATTACACAGTAACAAGGTTAACAAAAATTATAGTGATGTCCAATGCCCAAGGTGGCAAAATTCACATGAGAGACACATACAAAGTTACCGATACAAAAATAATCATAAATTAAAATACTATAATAATAAAATATACAATATAATTATATCGATATTGTAATATATACACTCAGTAGCCGACTAATAAATAAATAAAAAATCAACCATAGGTATATGGGTGAATCTACTCTTTTAAGGTACTCTTTTGCTGTCCCCATAGTTAAATTGGAAATAATGACGAAAAATTCATTTATTATCAAGGATTTCTAAACCTTATTATAAAATTAGACTTATTTTACTTCTACTAAAATAATTTAATTTTGTAGATAAATTAAACAAAATACTTTTTATAGTAACACTGTAGACAAAAACAATAGCCCAAGGTGGCAAAATAAATTGGAGACAATCATAAATTAAAATACAAAATAATAAAATAAAAATAATTATATCGATGTTGTTATATATACACTGTTACCGCCACTTCTCAAATTGAAAGATTCCGCATTTCTGGTCAATCTTATTGACGAATCAGATTTCCTTTATAATACCTTTCATTCATTCATTCATTTCATTCCCTTTTGCAACCGGCAACGGAGTAGCAGCGTAGTCTAAGTAAGACCACGCCCGCACGCGCAAGCACATTGTGTCACGCTCGCTATATCTGCTTAATTATCATAAACTTAAAATCACGGCCGTGAATTGTGTGAATTGCGCAAGACAACTAGGAGTGCACCACGCGAGTGTCAACCTGAGGTACGAGAAGAAGCTGCCAGCGTTTACCAGGTACTTCAGTTTTATGTGTCGGTTGCAAATTTCAACGAAATCTAATTTCAATTACCTATTACAGTCCACTTTAACCCACTTTAACGCGTCACCACGTTTTTTTTGGTCCTTCGAGCCGGATTAGAACCATATTCTCTGGTCCATTCGGCCATATTAAAATATTTATATAACATGCAAGTCTTATTATTCCGTATATATATTTATTATTAAGATGTCGAAAGCTAGCACGTCAAAAATGAATAAACCTAGGGCTAAAACACCAGACCCCAAATTAATAATGTTGTAGAATATAACTATGGCTAGGCGCGATTATTTATTTAACCGCTTACAAACAATTTATGATCGCTCTCAACAATTAGATAGTGAGGTGGACAGAGTGGAGTTCCTTTCTGACGCGATTTCGATTGATGCATTACGAAGTGATTTCGAAAAAGTATTAACCAATTACAATTTATATAACATGCAAGTCTACCCAGGAGCAAAGGTGAAATATCAGTCATGGGTCGCGTTCGACGAATTGTACTGTCATATAAAACGTGTAATGTCTCGTCTTACAAGACCTTTCTTACCACCTATAGAACTAGCGTCGTTTGATGATGATATCCGCTCATGGTCGTTATTTTATGCAAGTTTTAAATCCACTGTGCATGATAATCCGTCCCTATCAGACGCCGATAAATTGTATTACTTGCTAGGTAAATTAACAACCAAAACGCATTCTGTGTTCGCAGGTTTACTCCTTGTGCTGAGAATTACGAACTTATCTTGAATACGCTTATAAAAAAAGTATGATGATAAACGCATGCTAGCATCGACCTATATTAATCAAATTTTCGACTTTAAACCAATTTCTAACTCTTCTGCTCGAAACTTAGAAATATTTTTAGATACATTCGGAACCGCGGTTAGCGCATTAAAAAACTTACAAATACCTGATTTAACTGATTTTATAATATTACATACCGCTTTAAAAAAGTTGGATCCCGAAACAGTTCGTTCTTTCGAAATGCATTCTCGCAAGGATAAAATTCCTAAATTTAAAAGTTTAACCGACTACGTAAAAGAACAAGCTAATATATTGCAGCGCTCTTATCATTCGAGTTTGATTTAGAATTCGAACCCGCAACGACGGCCCACCGCAAAAGGTCCGCAACCACAATCTTATGTCACTATGGCCAATATATACGAATGTTTGTGCAAGGATATTGTGCATGATCATTTATAAAAGTATCCGGCATTCTGTAAAATGACAACAAACGACCGTTATAAATATGTTAAAGAACGACACGCTTGTGTAAATTGTTTGAGTGTTATACATAGGGCAGGGACTTGCAACTCTAATTCTAAATGTAAAATTTGCAAAGGTAAACATCATAGTTTACTCCACTTTGACGCTTTCAAACCTGCTAACGCTCGCGTTGTGACCACCGCCGCTGTCATCAGGGACAGTGCGCGTGACTGTACCG